TGGATATCATCCTGTTTACTTAATCATTTTCCCTGTTCTATGACTTTCCATTTCCTTTATTATATTTGCTATGATGGTTTAAAACCCCATGCAGCTGAGCCTGGTGGCTCATACATTAATCACAGCCACTATGGAGGTAAAGTTCAGGAGGATCATATTTGGACGTTAGCCTCTTCAAAAAGTTACCAAGAGGAAGTGGCGCTGTGGCTCAAGTGGTAGAGTGTTAGCCTTGAGCTGAAGAGCTCAGGGACAGTGCACAAGCCCAGAGTTCAAGCCTCACACCTGGAAAAAAAAATAAAAGTTAGCAAGACCCCATGTCAATCACAAGCTGGGTATGGTGGATTCATACCTGTAATCTTTGAAAAATAAATATAGAAAAGACTGACACATAGATTAAACAGTATTGCCCGTCTAGCAAGCATGAGGTCGTGAGTATAGACACAGTTCTGAAAGGAAGCAAGCAAACAAAACTTCCTAGAGTGTAGCCGACATAATCCCATTATTTTGGGAGACTGAAGCAAGAGATCCTGAATGGAAGGCCAGGCAGGGAGTGCAGAGCTCAAAATCAAAACAAACAACAACAACAATAAAACTCCAAAGCTTCCTGATAGGTGGATTCATCTGTGGCAAAATGAGGCCTTGTCATTCCAAGTGGAATCAGCTGCGAATCCACCAAAATTAAATAACTGGGGCATCTCAAAAACACCTACTCTGATCTTGATTCATTTCAGCGTTGACTGGGAAGAAATTGGTTCTTTTAATTGTGTTAGTAGTAGTTTTGCCACTGAGCAGACAATAATGGCTACACACCTCTCCTGTGGGTTGCCAGCACTTTCTATTGTCCCAATGTGGCGGCCACATGTTTCCTTTCCAGCTGGGTAGGTCTTCAGCCAGGGAGTTTAGAGGAAACGAAAGGGAAAATATGAACTCAGCTTTTCCTTTGGCTGTATGATGATGGCTTATAGGTTTCCCCCTAAGCTGTGTACATATGTGAATGTGTATGTGTGTGTGTGTGTGTGTGTGTGTGCACGTGCACGCGTATGTGTCTGTGTGTTTAGAAGAAAATAAGAATTTCACTGATGGAAAACAATGTGTCCAATGGTTTAAAGTTCAAGTAAAGGAATTAAGTACTATGAGACACGTGGTGAAACACGGTGAATCAATTGAACTCACAGAACTAACTTGGATAATCGCAAAAACCAATGCTTTGGAAACTATGAAGAACGCCTCTGAAATGATGGGTTAGTGTTCAATGCTACAGAGCTCCTTAGCTCTAGAAAGACGGGGTTGTGCTTAGTGTTAATTGAATGAAAGCATCAGGACTGGAAACCAGAGCGTTCTTCCTGACATCCAGTGTAAAACTTCTGCTCTCCGACCGAGGCCTGCCCTGGCTGAGCCTCTCCAGCAGTTTGACCTCAATCGCCAAGTCTTCCCTCAGAAACCTGTGGTTGAGTAATAGCAGTTTGGGGCTTTGGCTTCCCGGAGAATAAGCTGCTCAAGGGCGTGTGCAGAGCCTTTTCCAGAAGAGAGGTAATTATACTCTTTTCTTCCCGTTCCTCCTCTCATTCCATCTGTCCATTCAAGTTACATGCACCTGTGTCATCTTCGGCTGCCCCGTACATCTGAAGAAACTGGGCAGCCAATCTGCAGCACTGCAGACAGGGTGGGAAACAACAGCTCTGGATATCTCTGACTCTTGTTCTGAAAGGGATTGGCTGCTGACTTCCCATTGGCAAGTTGACAGGTGGGTTTTGATCTTCATTGTATAAGCAATCGATGTGTCAACCCATTGGCAAGCTCCCTCGTAATATCCTTTTGTACCAACGATGCTGTGTGATCACAGACAGTGTAAATCTAAGTTGACTTAAAGAGAGGCAGACTCACCACCCTGGACTCCAGTCCTGCAGTTTGATTAGCGGGGAGAAGCAGCCCCATCCCCTCAGTGTCCCACAAAGGTTGGAGGTGGCAAACAACAGAAATTGACTGTGACTAGGTTAAACCACAATGGAGTAACGTTGGGTGAACGGAAGGAAAAACCAAAGAACAAGGTTTTGGAATGTACTGGCCTGGAACAGCTCGGGGACATCTGCTGGACTGGTCACTTTCTCTAGTTGTAGGAGGAAAAATATTTGTGACCATGTGTTCTCCTCACGATTCACATTCCGGGAAGCATTCATTCGTCAAACAAGGCTCCCGGGCCAGCCGCGTGGGAAGTCTGGTGCTCAGGAGACCCTGCCTTGCTAATGGGTGGGAAGTTGTTCCCAGCAACATACACTTGTTCTTTTAGCTGGTACAGGTGCTTGAATTCGAAGCCTGGGCACTCTCCCTTAGCTTTTACATTCAAGGCCACTCAGACATAAGACTCTCACGATTTGTCTACTCAGGGCTGGCTTCAAACTTCAATCCTCAGATCTCAACATCTCCGCTTCTTGAGTAGCTAGGATTACATCATTATTGTCATGAGCCACCAGTTTAGGTTTTGGGGTGTGTGTGTATGTGTGTGTCCTGGGGCTTGAACACAAAGCCTTGACACTGTCCCTGAACGTTTTAGTTCAAGGCTACTGCTGTACCACTTGAGCCACAACTCCACTTCCAGCATTTTTGCCCGTTAAATGGAAATGAGAGTTTCATGGGCTTTCCTGTCCTGGCTGGCTTTGAACCTTGATCCTCAGATCTTAGCCTCCTGAGTAGCTAGGAGTGAGCCATGGGCTCCTGATGGCTTACTTGTGCTCAATAGAAAGAGAAGAGAAATAAAAGCATCAAAGCAACATGTCCACAGCACCTCCAAATGGGATGATTAGCTAGGGGAAGACTGAGACTAACAAAGGGGTGAATATTACAGAAGGCCTAAAACGACCCAATGATGAGAACAGCAAAGGATGTAAACGGTAACACTGAGGAGTCATTTGAACCCAGCTGCTCATCACAGTTTTTCTCTGAGGTGCCCCTGCCAGTGCTAGGTGAATAGCCATGGGTGAGCAGTCACAGCGCTCCATCCTTCCCCTCTTCCCCCCACTCTCTGCTGAACTCCAGGGCTGTTCTTTTTCAACTCCTTTGTTTAGATTGGAAGACCAATCAAACACCGTCACCTACTTTATACTGGATTTCAATATTTAACAATGGAGACTTAAAATGGTGGGTTCGGAGCAAAGCCGCCTGTTAGAAGCAGATGAGAAAAGGGGAAAAAGTCAGACACGCTATTGGCTTGACTGCTCCAGTGAGCTCTTCCGGCCAGCTCCCTGGAGAACCCTGTGATAAAGGCAATCCCTTTCACCCGGGGCACAAACCAGGCCAGGGGTTCTTTCTTTTCTTCCTCCCTTTTCCCTCTTTCCTTTCCGTGTGGACACGCGTGTAACCCTGACACACTAGGAAGCCTGCCTCCCGGGAAGTCGCCCTTGGTCATTAGGCCAGCACTGCCTGGAAGCAGGCTTGCAGCCCCAGTCTCCTAGAACCTCCAGGCACCAACCCCACGAGCGCGCCGGCCCTGCGCACCCATGGGGACCCGAGGCCTGGGCCCCGGGCGGTGGGCTCCTGTGGGGCCGGGCCTTAGTCCCCCCTCCCCCCTTCCCCGCCCCCCCGTGCCCACTCATGCTCCCCC